CTGATGCTCTGTCTCCTCCTCCTCACCTCCAGCTGCAGCTGTTTTTTACAGAATAATAATAATAATAATAATAATATTAATATTAATAATATTTTCAATAAATTTATTCTAAGCTCATCAGAACTCAGATTTTACTGAAACTGTTTTTTTCTGTTTAGTAAAACAAACCAGTTTGATTTCAGAGACTTTAGACTGAATTAAAGGTTTTTATCAGATGTAGCTGATGCTCTGTCTCCTCCTCCTCACCTCCAGCTGCGGCTGCTGTATGAATGCAACCCGATGGCCTTCATCATGGAGCAGGCGGGCGGCCTGGCCTCCACAGGCCTGCAGAACCTCCTGGACATCCAGCCGGAGAACATCCACCAGCGCGCTCCTGTGGCCATGGGTTCTCCTGACGACGTCCAGGAGTTCATCGCCATCTGCCAGAAACACGCCAAGAACAAGTGAGACCGCCACGCCCGGCTCAGCCCGGTCCGACCCGGTCCCGTTCCAACCTGAAGACTTTCTCTGAAGCTGGAAGTTTGTTTTGTGTTGAAGGAGTCTTCAGAGAAAAGTGTTTTTCTATCACAGAACTCTAAATGTGAAACTTTCAGATTTATTAAAACATTCCTGAAAACTACCAAAGATTTAAACCGTGCCAAAAAAATAAACATCTACTTGAATAAAAATGAAGAGTTCCCCCTCCTCCTCCTCCTCCTCCGCTGTGCCTTAAAAAAAAAATCACCAAATATACTTTTTATGGAACAGAACTTGATGCTTTTATTGTGAAATTATTACTGTTTGGAATCATATGGTCTTGATAAACAAAGTAAATAAAATAAACCTGTTTTATTAAAAATATTTGTTATTCTTTTTATTTGAGGTTTTTAGAAATTAATCATTTTTTCCAGTTTGTTCTGTTTTGTTGTTTGGTTCATGATTTTATTTAGTTTGAAGTTGTTGTAAAGCTTAGATAAGAGTTCACAGGAAACAGTTTCCTTACAAAATAAAAGCCTGAACATACAGCAGAAAAGAAAAACACAATGACTGAATAAACAACAAAAGAAAAGGATCATCATGTTTAAGGAACTGACGACAAACAAACAGGAAGCTGAAGAAATATTCATGGTTTTTCAAAATAAAACAGGAAATAAACATATTACAGGAATTTTACAGAAACTAAAGAACTAAAACCAAACCTAATATGGTCTGACCTGGAGGGTTTTATTTTGAAAGGTCCAGATACAACCCCTGGCAAAAAGTCTGGAATCAGCAGTCTCTGATGAGCTCTCAGACATTTCATCCTGTAAAACAAACTCAGATCAAAAACATGATACAATAATAAGGTCATTACAAAGGTCAACTTGTTGGCTTTCAGGAACACTCAAAGAAACGAAGAGAAAACATTGTGAAAGTCAGTGAATGTTACTTTTATTGACCAAGAACAGGGGAAAAATATGGAATCACTCAGTTCTGAGGAAAAAGTATGGAATCATGAACAACAGATCAACTAAAGACCATTCAAAATGCATCACTAGTATTTAGTTGCAGCACCTTTGTCTTTTCTAACAGCTGCAGTCTCTGAGGCATGGACTTGATGAGTGACAAACAGTATTCTTCATCAGTTTGGTGYCAACTCTCTTTGATAGCAGTTACCAGATCAGCTTTGCAGGTCGGAGCTTCTTCTGGACCAGTTTTTTCAGTTTCCACCAAAGGTTTTCAGTTGGGTTGAGATCTGGACTATTTGCAGGTCATGACATGGACTGAATGTGTCTTTCTCCAAGGAATGCCTTCACTGTTGTTGTCCTATAGCACGATGCATTGTCATGTTGGAAAATGATGTCATCACCTCCAAACATCTGTTCAACTGAAGGGATGAGAAAACTGTCCAACATGTCAATGTAAACTTGTGCATTGATAGAAGAATGAAGCACAGTCATCTCCCCAGTGCCTTTGCCTGACATGCAGCCCCATATCATCAAGGACTGTGGAAATGTGTTGTTTTCTTCAGTCCTCTTCATAAATCTGACTGGAACAGCACCAAACTAAAGTTCAGCATCATCACCTTGTCCAATGCAGATTCTTGACTCATCACTGAAGATAACTTTCATCCAGTCATCCACAGTCCATGAYTGCCTCTCCTTAGCCCATTGCAGTCTTGTTCTTTTTGTTTAGGTGTCAATGATGGTTTTCTTTTAGCTTTCCTGGATTGAAATCCCATTTCCTTTAGGTCATTTCTTACAGTTCGGTCACATACATTGGCTCCAGCTTCCTCCATTTATGCTTCATCTGTTTAGTTGTACTTTTTCAGTTTTCAAGACAAATGGTCTTAAGTTGTTTGTCTTGATGCTTTGATGTCTTTCTTGGTCTACCAGTACACTTGGCTTTAACAACCATTCCATGCTGTTTGTGTTTGGTCCATATCTTGGATACAGCTGACTGAGAACAGCCCACATCTTTAGGAACCACGTGTGAAGAGTTACCTTCTTCAAGAAGTTTCACAATCCTCTCTTTGTTTCAAGAGACATTTCTCTTGCTGGAGCCATGGTTCTGTCCACTCCACTTGGTCCAGCAGCCCTCCAAGGTGTCATGACTGCAGGTGTTTTTACCTGCAGACTGACCAGAGATCTAATCTGAGGCAGGTGTCCATTTAGGGAAAGGAAACTGACTGGGTGTGTCCTTATTTTATACCTCCAATTTGAGTGATTCCATATTTTTTTTCCCTGTGCTTGGTCAATGAAAGTAACATTCACTGACTTCCACAATGTTTTCTCTTCATTTCTTTGAGTTCCTGAAAGACAACAAGTTGACCTTTGGAATGACCTTATTATTGTTTCATGTTTTTGATCTGAGTTTGTTTTACAGRATGAAATGTCTGAAGACTGCTGATTCCAGACTTTTTGCAGGGGTTGTATGTCCTCTGCAGGAAGTTGACCTTTAAACTGAACGTCAGTTGAGTCTGAACATGATTCTCTGTTTTTAGATCAAAACAAATAAAATTATTAAATAAAACTGATTTTTAATGAATAAAAATTAAACTTTGCTTTTGATGAAACCATCAGAATCTAAATTTATTCACTTCTTAAGAAGTAAAAAATTAAGATTTTATTTCTGAATAAAACAATTTTAACTCAGAAGTTCTGGTTCTGGTTCTGTGTTGGACCCAGGTCTTAAAGGTTGTATTTCTGTGCAGCAGAATATTGTCTGTGTTTCTGCAGACACCCGACACCACCACAGTCCAGCCGGGTCACTCTAATACTGGACCCAGATCACAAATAGATCCTCAGAGTCTGGGTCTGAGGGGCTCATTCCCAGTCCTGCTGCCTGCCCTACAGGAAGGAGAACCAGAACCAGCATGTCGGACCAGTCCGCGTTTGACACGGATGTTTGGACCCTGACCCGGTTCATCATTGAGACGGGCCGTCAGGCTAAAGGAGCCACAGGAGAGCTGACCCAGCTCATCACCGCCATGCTGACCGCCATCAAGGCCATCTCCTCGGCTGTGAGGAAGGCGGGCCTGGCCCACCTGTAAGTACCCACCTGTGGTTCTGGTTCCACCATGAAGGATGGTTCTGAGTCACATCTGGCAGTCCACCAGCTAATAAATGAGACACATCCTCTTTATAACCTTAGACCAGGTCCAGTTCCAGAACCCAAACAGCTCAACTGGTCAGAACCAACTGAAGTCCTGCAGAAAGAACTTTTCTTTAAACTTCTGCAGGAGTCAGAACCAAGGTTGTGCTGTGGCCCGGGTCGGTCCTGCAGGAGTCAGAACCAAGGTTGTGCTGTGGCCCGGGTTGGTCCTGCAGGAGTCAGAAGTGTTGAAACAATCTAATCTTAAAGAAACAAAGTGTTGCAGCAACACAAAGTTCTGCAACACTTTGCAGGAGAAAAGACTCAGAACTCGTCTGATTGTTGGACTCAGTGTTTGTTCAGGAACTGATGGTTGGTTTTAGAGTTTCTGGAACCAGTCTGGATGAACTGTAAAGGTCTTACCTGGTCCTGGTGTCCTGTACATCTCGCATGTCTCAGGCAGGGCATGGCGGGTTCTGTGAACGTGACGGGGGATGATGTGAAGAAACTGGACGTGCTGTCCAATGACCTGGTGATCAACATGCTGCGGGCGTCCTACAGCACCTGCTGCATGGTGTCTGAGGAGAACAAGGAGCTCATCGTCACACCGCAAGACAAGAGGGTAACACCTGGACCTGACTGTTTACCTGTTAAACATGTTGTGGACATGTTTAACATGTATACCATGTGGACATGTATACCATGTGGACATGTTTAACATGTATAATATGTGGACATGTATACCATGTGGACATGTATACCATGTGGACATGTATACCATGTGGACATGTATACCATGTGGACATGTATAACATGTTTAACATGTATACCATGTGGACATGTATACCATGTGGACATGTTTAACATGTATAATATGTGGACATGTATACCATGTGGACATGTATACCATGTGGACATGTATACCATGTGGACATGTATACCATGTTTAACATAATGAGTTTGGGTTCTGCTCTCAGGGGAAGTACGTGGTGTGTTTTGACCCGCTGGACGGATCCAGTAACATCGACTGCTTGGCTTCCATCGGAACCATCTTTGCCATCTATAAACGGGTCAGTTTCACCCACAGCTCTGCAAGCTGTGGCTCTGGGGCCACACGGGCCTCGCCAGTCTCTGTGCAGAGGCCCTCTGTATCTTTGACCAGAACTAAATGTATAAAACCTGATGTCTGATTACACAGTGAACCAGACGGAAGAATAAAATCTGAAGTAAATGAAGGTTTCTGTTTTTATGAAAGGAATTTATTAAAGACATAATGAAGTCTTCAGTTTGTTTGAATGAGAAGAACTGTATAAAGATTTACTGTACCAAAGAGGAGAATCATTTACTGTTCTTGTAGTATCCAGAGTGCAGCCAGCAGGGGGTGCTGCTGCTCCAAGCACCTGAAGACTGTCCTCAGTTTGGAGCTGACTGCAGGTGTTTGTGGTGTTTTCAGGTGTCAGAGGGGGAGGAGCCAACAGAGCAGGATGCCCTGCAGCCAGGGAACAGAATCGTGTGTGCGGGCTACGCCCTGTACGGCAGCGCCACCCTGGTGGCCCTCAGCACCGGCGCTGGACTCAACTTCTTCATGCTGGACCCTGTGAGTCCCCCAGGAGCCCCTCTGACCCAGCATGGACCATCTTGTTGAGCTTAACAGAGTTTCTGCACAGTTTTAACATTTCCTTTAAAACCTAGTATTTACTTTAACAGCATGAAACAGATGTACATCCAGATGTAAATTTACTGATGAAGTGTTTGTGTCCCACCAGGCCCTCGGTGAGTTCATCCTGACTGAGAGGAACGTGAAGATCAGACAGAAAGGAAACATCTACAGTCTGAACGAAGGCTACGCCAAATACTTCCACCCATCCATCAACGAGTACCTGAAGCACAAGAAGTACCCACAGGTGAGAGTACAGGAGTTCTACAGGAAGTACCCACAGGTGAGAGTACAGGAGTTCTACAGG